TCGTCCAAAAAATATAAGATACTGCAGTATTAGTTACAGCATCAATAATTAGTACTCTCTCCTGTCCTTAATATATGACATTTTAATTTATATTAAGTTTCACTTAATACGCATTTTTAATTGATCAAAAAACTTTAAAAGTATTTTATAACAATCAAGAGAATACAACGAATGTGAAAATACATGTTTAAGGTTTTTTTGTCAGTTAAAAATATGTATTATGTGAAACCTATGACAAATCAAAATATTTTATATTAAATATGGGGGAGTATTGCAGTATTAGCGGCGGAATTAGAAAATTCATTCATGAACGATAGAAGAGCGAAATTTACAAAATATAACTATTATTATGCAGGAAATGTATTTGGAGGCGAGAAGTCGGAGAATTGAATCCCGTCTGGGTGTGGGTGGGGATTTTTTCAAACGAGTCACTCAATCTAGTGATAAATTTTTTTTATTATCGAGAATTTGGAGACTTGAATCCGACTGAGTGTGGGTGTTAATATGGTAACCGAAAAATTCAGGAAACAGAAGTAGCTTAAAGCCTTAAACTCTGTGAGCTTTTATCAAAGATTCATGATATATTTTGACAACTATAATACGACGGGGAAAAGGCGGTGATACACGTCTCATAAATTTCATTTCATTTTTATGTTTAACTCTCTCTATTCTAAAAAATAATCCACATTAACTTTTTAAAGTGTTTCAACATTGATTTTTTTTTTAGGAGAGAGAATTGAACTAATACATGATATGATATTTGGTTATTAGTAATTGAAAATAACTAATTTCTTAACTAATAACCGAATGTCATATCAAGTGAATTTCAAAACCGATATAAAATTAATGCGTCGTTACTCAATAATTGAAAGAGGCCGGAGGAGGGACTCGTCATCGATCGTTCGGACCAGTGATGTTATGGTAACCTAGGTAGTGAGACATTGTTGCTTTACGCTGCAGTTTCTCTTTTTGCTGCCTTAATTACAACTTAACATATACTCCAAGAACAGCTATATGTAGGAAGACGAGTGAAGAGTTTAGTTATATGTATACAGAGCGAAGATATAATATCATTTCAAAATATGTTTTTGTGATCAAATTTTGGGAAAAGAACAAAAACCCCTCTGAGTTATGTCTAAAGGACAAGTTGCCTCCCGATATTTGGTGTAAGGACAATAATCCTGACCGCCAAGTCAAAAGATAAATTTGCCCCCTGCATCAACAAATCATAGTGAAAAAAGATAAAAATAATCTTAAATCCAAAACTGATCTTCTTCAAGACCAAAACTACCCTCCAATCAATTCGTTTATTTTAATTTTTAAAAATCCTTAAACAATTTGGCTCCAATTAAATCCGCCGCTGACCCTATTTTGATACACTATTTATTCCTATCATTTCCGACTCAATAAAAATAAACCCGAGATTGAGAATTTAATCTATCAAAACCATAAATTCTATTTGTATATTAAATTCTCAATTTTGGGTTTATTTTTATTAAGGTGGCAGTGATAGAAATAAATAATGCATCAAAACGGAGTCAGCGACAGATTTAAAATGGCGAATAATAGAATTTATAATTTTAATTTTCTTTTTGTGTAAAAAAAATTCTTTTTAGATTTGAGGGCTTTTCTGTCTTTTCACACTAAAATTTGCTAATGTATGGGGCAAATGGTCCTTTAATCTGGCGGTCAGGGAGGTTATTGTTGTTATACCAAATGTCGGGAAGCAATTTGTCCTTTGAACATAAATCAGGGGGTTTGTCATTTTCCCTCAAATTTTTCCATAACACATTAATGAATGTTATTACAATCAAATAAATATGTATAAGCATATCATGTAGGAAAAACAAAACTGTAAAATTTACTCAATAATAAGTCATGATTCGCAAAACAAAAAAAAAAAAAAAATGTTTTGTCGAAATGGAACTATTATATCATGGCGCAACGGAAGTTTAAAAGGTGTGATGTAACACTAATTAGTGTTCTGCCTTTTTACTTGTCCTATGATTTTTTCCTCAGTCTTCATTTTATATCATTTATATGCATACACATGAATATTATTCTTTTGAAATCACATGAATATAGATATTCAATTATGTAGTTTTTTTTTTCTTTTACAGCATATAATGGCATTCAAAAACTTAAACTATGATTACGTTGGGTGGGCTTGTAATAGTTAAAGACGGATTATAATTTTCACGATTAGGGATTTTAATTCTTTCCAGCATATATCAAAAAAATATATATTATTATTTTATTTGTCCAAAAAATAAGAGCCGTAATTGTTGAACTGTCCTAGTAGTTGATTTATACGGAAGTTATAATAATTTTCAAAATAAACTTGCCAAAAATCAACAATTAAAAGCAGAAATTATTTTGAGCAGTGTACCACCATTTGGCGTGGGAATATATCCCTTTGGTTGCTAGCTGCTGATTGTTAACCACCAGGTAGCTCCGGGTGTTTATGCATGAAATCATGCTTCTTCTTCTTCTTTTTAATTAAATGAGGCTGTACATAAAGAAGTCAATAAGTTAATTGTTGTATCATATATCACCAATTAATCTAAAATAATTTAATTATTAATTAATTAATAATTTTGGGGATGATCAAGAGGGCCTTGGAGTGTGCACACTTTGTTGGATCGGCACGTCTAAAACTCCACGGAGTTTGAGGATTTTGCTTTCTTTTTACGAGCAAACCTTCACGTGAAATTCCGGTACCCGTTCTTGTACTTTGACCCATTTAAATTATTAATTAATTATACGATCTTATGCACCAATCTATCCAAAACCTTAATACACCTCAGCATGCATCTGATTCTCATTGAGTCACTTTCGTCTTACAAACTAGCTCTGTTCTTGAAGTAAGACTTCCGGTTTGTTAAATCAAAATAATTACCGGATCACATTTGGTGAGATAGAGAGTGAATCGTGAAAAAAAAAAAAACTCTATTGAAAGTGTCTACATTAGTAACTATTACTATATACTCTCTTTATTCACAAATAGATATCGTTGGAGGAAAAAATAAAATCCAAAATAAATGTCGTTCATATTCAATTTTTTTTTTCAATACTACTCTTACATGCAAACTGATGTAGAATTGTATTAAAACTAAATGTTATTAGAACTACAATTGTATTAAAAATAAATGAGGGTATTATAGTATTTTAACAAAATAATTATTATTTTCTTAAAATTTGTGAAATTTCTCTATCAACGTCTATTTGTGAAGGGAGAGAGTAGTTCTGACGAGATGTTGTTATTCAAAAACTAACAACTTTTCCTCGATATTGAATATGAACCATAATTCATGTATGGAGGTAGAAATCCATACTGATCGCATTGATCATCCAGTTCATGTGTGTACGCAAATATATGTATATAGGGATTAGATTGAATAAATATTGGGATTAGAATTAATTTTAATATATTGTTACTGTATTATTTTTTGGTGCAGAATGAGAGGATGGAGATCCCAAGGACCAAAATGGTTTTAGTTAATAATGTATGTGATGAGTATATACTAATATCGTAGGCTCGTCATTTGACCCGCCCCGGCCGTTACAGTTTATTAAATAGGTTTACCGGCTTGAAGAATAAGCTAGGCTGATTACTAGTTTACTTCTTCTGTCACAAAATAATTTTTTAGTTTGAAATTTTATTTTAGTTCATTTTGCATTAAAAGTGAAAATATTAAACTAAATATAAATTTAAACTAAACAATCATTTCAGGATGGAAAAAATATTTTTTTTATCATGAAAATAGTTAATTGATGATCAACTTGATCGTCGGAGTATTTTTCTGATATATAAAAAGAATTAATTAGGCTGGCTGGTACACTTAACATTGGATGTTTGATGACACTTTCCGCCTTAATCAGTATGTATATTGATCTCTTTTGGATATGTCGATGAACGTGCATATTATTACTAAGTTATACAATTTCAAATACTACCTCCGTCCCATAATTATTGCCCAGTTTAAATTTTCATTTTTAGTTCAAATTATACTAAAAATGGAATCTCAAACTGGACAATAATTTTGGGACAGAAGGAGTACCTGAGATTTTCAACGAATACAAGCATGCAACTCTTTACATTATTTTATTTCTGAAATATAATTAAATGCAAGTTTATGACGGTGGAACTTAAGTTGCTTTTTTTTGTTTTTTTATTTATTTAAACTTTAAAGTAATCAAGGGTATGGAAACTGCTCATAATAAATTGATCTGAAGAATAAATTTTGAGATCAGATAGATAGATAGATTGTTATATATAATTGAGTAAATTAAGGATGGAGATGGGTCCGTATGTATAAGAATTTAGAAGCGAATTTTTGGAAGGCGGGTCTCCTATTCAAACGACAATCTCCACAATCTTGTAAGATAATATAGACACACGGATGTATACAAAAAAACAAAAAGTCTTTTGAAAGGAAGTTTTTGACTACACTGTTTTGTGTTTGCTATAATTGAAGAAATTGGGAAATTGTCTTACAGAGGACATATATATTTCACCGACTATATAGTTAAGTTAATATATCAACGAGACATTTTGGAAATCAAGTAATGTGCTCTAACAATTAATTTTTCTGTTTAAAAAAGAAAACATCAACATTTACTTTGAGATTTGTACTCTCAAAATTCATTGTGAAATATATTTCTGGAACGAAAAGTGTATTTTTCTATTTACACAACCAGATGCAATAATAAGTGATAATTCCTTTGTCTAACGTTATAAAATAAAAAATTAAAGAAGAGTACTTAGAACAAGTATGTAAGACCAAGGACGAGACTTATTAAGGTGGATTTCATAACAATATTATTTAAACGTTTGTTTGGATTTGGACACTACTAAAAAAAAAAAAAAGAAAAAGAAACATTACTACGTCAAGATTCAAAGACTAGCTAACAAGTTGGGGAACATATATAGAACAAACCCAACTCCACCAAAGCAAACTTCCATTTCTTCCTCTTCCTCTTCCTCTTCTGGTTTCTCCCATTTCCCTATTTCTCTGATCTTCAGACACACATCCTTAAATTCATTCAATTATTAGACTGGTACAACTTTTAGCTCTTCTCATCCTTTTTTTTGAGTATCCCTTAATCTCCAGCCCATAAAAACTCAAAGTAGCTAGGAGTATATTCAGCTAGCGTTTTCTTCATCACTTCACCTTTCTGTTTTTAGATATACATACAGCAAGGTCAAATAAGGAAAATGATGGTGGTAGGAGCTGCAAACGGCGGCCGACGGGGAACGAGTGGCGGTGGCGGAGGTGGGGGTCATTTTGATGAACATATTCATGATGATGATGAGGTGGTGAACATGAGCGGTGGCGGCGGCGGTGGTGGTGGTGCCGGCGGCGTGCCGCCAGGGTTTCGTTTCCATCCGACCGATGAAGAGTTACTGTACTATTATCTGAGAAAGAAGGTTTCCTATGAACCCATCGATCTTGATGTTATTAGGGAAGTGGATCTCAACAAACTTGAGCCTTGGGATCTCAAAGGTAATTAGAAAAAGAATTGTGCTTACATTTATTTTAATCCTTCCATTCAAAAATAAGAGTTCTGTTTATTCTCGTGTTTTAGTACAATAAATAGGCCATTATTTTTTGGTCGGAAGGAATATATCACTTTGTTTACTAAGTAACAAATTAACCCTTGCATTTGATTTCGACTTGTTTTAGTTTGCTTGCCTGATTTTGTAATCTTGATATTCACCATTAAATTGTTGTTACTAATGGATGAATGTTGTTAATTAATATGGCAGATAAATGTAGAATAGGAAGTGGTCCTCAGAACGAGTGGTACTTTTTCAGCCACAAGGACAAGAAATACCCGACCGGAACTCGAACCAATCGGGCTACAGCAGCCGGGTTTTGGAAAGCAACGGGAAGGGATAAGGCCATTCATCATCACCATTCTTCTTCTTCTTCTTCCTCCTCCTCTTCAAATGATCACTCCTCCATGAAAATCGGGATGAGAAAAACCCTAGTCTTTTACATTGGACGTGCTCCTCACGGCCGGAAAACCGATTGGATCATGCACGAATATCGCCTCCATGACGAGAATAACAACAACATTCATCATCCTCATCATGAGGTACGTACGTGTTTTTACTTAGTACAAAGGAGAGACGTGTATCATTACTCGATTAAATCACTCCAGATCAAGAAGATGTTATAAATGCATAAATAATGTTATTGGTAACGAGTAACGATATTTATCTTTACAAATTTCATTAAACGTATATGCAGCTAGAAGATGGATGGGTGGTGTGTAGGGTATTCAAGAAGAAAAGCAACAATGTCACTAGTAGGGGTTTCCAACAACAACTACCAGATAATGACCATCATCAAGTTCAAGACAACCATCAAGAAGAAAATGATTTAAATGGAATAATGATGATGATGAAGCACCATCAACATGATGATACTAATCAGCTAGGTGATCCAAAACTACATAATCCACAGCTACAAGCTCTCTATGATCATCCCTATTATAATAATGATCATGGCAATACCATGCATAAGAACAACAACAATATGTATCTCCCTCAATTATTAAGCCCCGAGTACTCATCGTCTCACCTTCCGCTCGGCCATCCTACCTCGTCCTTCGACAACATCAACAATTACTATTGTAATAATCCTCAAAACTTACTTAGTTTGGCGGCAGCATCAACTACCGGGGGATTATTTGGATGCGACGATCATCAGAAGTCGTCGTTGTTGGTGGATAATAGCGCCGGTGGTGCCGGAGGAGGAGGGGATTGGTCTTTTTTGGACAAGCTTCTAGCCACTTCTGGACCAGCTGGAAGTTGCAACTGGAAGTTCTCAAAATAGCTGCCTATGTTGATCATCCAGCTTAAATATTTGATTTCTGATTAATTAATGTTATTTTTTTTTTCTCTCTTCGTGGAAAAAATATTATATGTACCATTGGAAGACAATTTCCTTCCTTTCTTTTCTTAGGTTTACTAGCTAGCTACCGAGCCATGTATATTATTAATTCTTTGGAATTGATTCATAGACTTTTTTTGTTTAACATGGATCAACGTAATTAATTTTTTTTATATTTTGATCTTTAATTGTCATTTTCCCTTATATAATCAGCGATTTACAATCTAGTTTTATGATGCACATAGGGCTTGTTAAGTTCTGATCATGCTCCCGTAGTTCCTCTTTTTGCTGTATTGTAATATTTAGTATATTTCCTATAATGTCCTAGTTTAAGATTTGTTATTGTCTATATATAATCTGTATATTGTGCACAACATATTATGAATCCGATACAATTTTTCTATTCTAAGTTGGTATCAGCTAGGTTTAAAACAACCCAATTTTTTTCTCTCTCTCTCTCCTTTTTTTTCTCTTCCCGCCGCCGGTTTTTCTTCTTTGGCCGTGCGCAATCCCTCTGCCGCCACACACAGGTTTCTTCTCCCCGTGCGCTGCCGTCATCCCGCTGTTGCCGTGTTGCTGCTTCTGCCGGTGTTCACCATTACTGCCGTCTGCTGCTGCCGATTCGTCGTTCGGTGTGCTGCTGTTGTTGCTCGATCGTCGGCATCGTCGGTTGCTCTGTTCCTCCCTGCCGTAGATTATTCTTTAGATCCTCTTCTGAATTGGAAAGGCCTGCCGCCGCCTGCTGCTGGTTTTTTGTTAACTCCTATTCAATTCCTTCGTGCCCCATTATCACGTGCTGCTGCTTCTTGTCAACAACCAACCAACACAAAAAAAAAAAAACAAAAACCAAAAAAAAAAAAAACCAAAAAAAAAAAAAACCACTTGGGCTTTATTAAGTCTTGCTTGCTTACTTTCAACGATGACTATCCCCGACCTGTCATCCACCGACCAGGCTACCCAGCTTCGGCCGGCGGCACCTTCTTCACAGACACCATTATCACTTCTTCAACCTAGTCTGCAATCTCTCAATCATTCTTTCACTGTGAAGCTGCAATCTCGAGCCAACTATTCGTCTTGGTGTCTTCAGTTTACTCCTTTATTGACTATGTTTCGTGTTGCCGGTATTGTCAACGGCACCGACCCTGCACCGCCACGATTTCTTCCTTCCGTCAGTGGTGCCGTGCCCCAACTCAATCCTGAGTTTGATATCTGGCAGCAAAAGGATCAGCTAGTCCTCTCTTGGATTCTTTCTTCCATTGCTGACGACATTTTTCCCGTTCTCCAGGGCTGCACAACGTCGGCGGCTGCCTGAACAGCTCTTTAGCAGGGTTTCGGCACTCTTTCTTATGCTCAGCAGACCCAGCTTGTTATGGAGCTCCACAGCTTGCAAAAAGGTGACTTGTCGGTCACGGCTCTCCTCTCCAAAGCGAAGGGTATCGCAGATAAACTGCAGCTTACTGGCCATCGCATATCTCCTACAGAGTTCAATGCTATCATCTTCCGCAAGCTTGGTGCCGAATTCAATGGCATCATCGGAGCTTTGCAGCAGCGATCCGAACCCCCCTCCTATCAAGATCTCCTTGGTCAGTTAGTTTCGTATAAGGTGCTTCTTCACGCCCAACAGCCGGTCCTTCAGCCAACGGCCATGCCTGTGCAGTCGCCACCTTCTCCTACGCCGCCTCAATCCTCTCGTGCCGGTCGCTCGCAACGCGGCGGCCGCCGCAATCAGGTTTTTGGCCGTGGTGGTGGTCGGCGTGGGTACACCCCTCCCGCCCCGGGTGAGACGTGTCAGCTTTGCGGCATCTTGAATCACACAGCCGCCACTTGTCGACGCCGTTTTGATGCTACTTTTGTTCCTCGACCCCCTGCTGTTCGGTCGGCTGCTTATGCCCAGGCAGTTTCTCCTGCACCGCATTCAGCTGGTTTGTTGCCTCTTCCGTCTTACCTGGAGTCAACTATGTCTCCTCAAGCCCATATGGCGCAGTATGCCCCTTCTGTCACTCCCTGGCATCCGGACACTGGTGCTACCGATCATGTCACGCCAGATTTGTCCTCTCTCAGTATCTCCAATGATTATACTGGTACAGATCATATTTTAGTTGGTAATGGAGATGCTTTACCTATTCAGCATGTTGGTCAATCTGTTATGCCATCGTTTTCTCGTCTTCTTTATTTAAATCGTGTCTTGCATGCTCCTTCTCTTACTAAGCCTCTGTTATCTGTTCAAAAATTTACCCGTGATAATCACTGTTTCTTTGAATTTTATTCGGTTTCTTGTTGTGTCAAGGATCTTTCAACCAAGGAACTCCTCCTCCGCAGTCGGGCTGATAATGGTCTCTATCGCTTAGATCTTCCTGCTCGTGGTTCCTTGTCTCCAGCAGCTTATCTTGTCTCTTTAGGTCAAAGGCATGCTCGTTTAGGGCACCCTAATAATGTCACTCTTCGTACTTTGGTTAGGTAGTTTCAACTCCCTCATTCCTCTGTGTCCACGTCCACTGATAAATGTGAGGCGTTGTTTAGGGAAGTTGCATAGGGTTAGTTTACCTTCTACTTTTCATCGTAGCTCTAAACCTCTTGATTTAATTCACATTGATGTTTGGGGCCCTGCTCCTATTTTGTCATTCAATGGTTATCGCCACTTTGTGCTTTTTATTGATGACTTCTCTTTATTCACATGGATTTATCCCATTAAGTATAAAAGTGATGTTGTCCATGTTTTCAAGCAATTCAAAACTCTCGTAGAAAATCAATTTGGCACTACCATTAAAAGTGTTAACTCTGATTGGGGTGGTGAATTTCGTTCTCTCAATTCTTTCTTTAAGGATGTCGGTATTGTTCATCGTGTAGCGTGCCCACACACTCATGAGCAGAATGGCACTGCTGAACGCAAAATTCATCACATTGTCGACATTGGACTTGCTCTCCTTGGCCATTCCACTACCCCCTTTCGGTTTTGGGATTTTGCTTTTGAAACTGCTGTGTTTTTGATTAATCGCCACCCTAGTAAACCTCTTCAAGGTCACCTACCCTTCACTACACTATATCACCAGCCACCTGATTATGCCTTTCTTCGTGTCTTTGGTTGCGCTGTCTATCCTCTTCTTCACCCTTATAATAAACATAAATTCTCCTTTCGTTCTACTCAGTGTGTCTTTCTTGGGTATTCTCCATCTCATCTTGGTTATCGTTGTTTTGATGTGGTGCATAACCGTCTTTATGTTGCTCGTCATGTTGAGTTTGATGAGAAACTCTTTCCCTTTAAACGTCCTATTTCTAGTTCTCCTTCTTCGTTGCCGGAGTCTCCTGCTACCCCTTGGTTGCGTGTAACCAGTTCTCCTTGTATGCTTGCATCGTCTTCTGCGTCCTCTTCGTCTCCTTCTAGTACACCAGTTCGTTTGTCTCCTCCTATCCCTCCCGACTCATCATCTCTAGCTAGTTCTCCTGCATCCAGTTCTTCACCATCTGATTCCAGTCCTCCGCCGCCACCTCCTCCTCCTTCTTCCCGTCAGCACTCAATAACACTTCGTCCACAACCAAGCCCAAGAAAATCTTTGATCCCTCGGCTCATCTTACCTCTGTTTCCCCAGCTTTGTCTACTGCTCCTACATCCTTTACCCAAGCCAAATCCTTTCCTCAGTGGCAGAATGCCATGAAGGATGAAATTTCCGCCCTCCTCAAAAATAACACATGGACTTTAGTTCCCCCTCCTTCCTCCGGCAATGTTGTCGGCAATCGATGGCTCTATGAGATTAAGACCCATGCTGATGGCTCCATTGAGCGGTATAAGGCTCGGTTGGTGGCTCGAGGTTTTACTCAGTCTTTTGGGTTTGATTACACTGACACATTTAGTCCGGTTGTTAAGCCGGTCACCATTCGCTCGGTTTTGACTGTTGCCTTGGCTCGTGGATGGTCCATTTCTCAGCTTGATGTCAGTAATGCCTTTCTTAATGGTGTTCTAAGTGAGACCGTGTATATGGTTCAGCCACAGGGGTTTGTTGATCCGGTGCGTCCTCATTATTGTGTAAACTGCATAAGTCATTATATGGTCTTAAGCAAGCTCCTCGGGCCTGGTATTCTCGGCTGGCAGCATTTCTGCTTACCTTGGGTTTTGTGGAGTCTCGTTGTGATCCTTCCCTCTTTGTCTATCGCCGTGGGTCTCAGTTGTGTTTGTTGCTGGTCTATGTGGATGACATTATTCTTACAGGCAGCACTTCTGGTTTGGTCCAACATTTTATCTCTTGTCTTGCTAAGGAGTTTTCACTTCGGGATCTAGGTCCGTTGAGTTACTTTCTTGGGGTCGAGGTTCGTCGTACTTCCAAGGGTTTGCTGCTCTCTCAGTGCAAGTATGTCACTACTTTGCTACGACTTGCAAATATGCATACTTGCAAACCTATTTCCACTCCTTTGCAGGCTAATGTTCTGTTGTCCCGTTTGGATGGTACTCTGTTGTCTCCTGATGATGCGACTACTTATCGTCGGCTGTGTGGCAGTCTGCAGTATACCACTCTCACTCGTCCAGATATCTCCTTTGCAGTTAATAAGCTTTGTCAGTTCATGCATCAGCCTCGCACTTCTCATTTTCAGGCTCTCAAACGGGTTCTTCACTATCTTCGTGGTACCGTTAATTGCTGTTTAGTTCTGCATCCTACAGATTTGAGTACGCTTACTGCGTTTAGTGATGCTGACTGGGCTGGTTGTCCAGATGATCATCGTTCTACTACTGGTTTTCTCATTTATTTGGGACCTAATCTCATTGCCTGGGCATCTAGGAAGCAACCCACTGTGGCTCGCTCGTCTACTGAGGCTGAGTTTCGTGCGGTTGCTAATGTCTGTGTTGAACTGCATTGGGTGTGTCATCTGTTGTTTGAGTTAGGCGTTTCTTTACATCGCCCTCCCTCTATTTGGTGTGACAACAGTAGTGCAGTTTTCCTTACTGTCAATCTTGTGTTCCATGCTCGTACAAGACATGTTGAGGTTGATTTTCACTATGTTCGAGATCATGTTCGGCGTAAGTTTGTTTCGGTCAATTCTATCTCTGCTGTTGATCAGCTTGTTGATATTCTGACAAAACCCTTGTCCAAAGAGTTATTCTTTCGATTCCGGGACAAACTTCGGCTTCTCTCTTCTCCGCCGTAAGTTTGCGGGGGCGTATTGTAATATTTAGTATGTTTCCTATAATGTTCTAGTTTAGGGTTTGTTATTGTCTATATATAGTTTGTATATTGTGCACAACATATTATGAATCCGATACAATTTCCCTATTCTAAGTTGCTGTAATAAAAAGAGAAGAGTAATTATTTGTGGTTCATATACAACTTGTGCAAATGACTAAGTTTGTTCATTTTGAGAAACAAATGAAAATATATTGTGCTGAATGGTTGATTCAAAATGCATATGGGAGATGTTTGGCAGCACCTCTTTCTCCACTTTGATTATTTAGGGGTTCATCATTTTGCTCTGAATCTGGGCAAGTACCTCTTTCTCCACTTGGATGATATAGGGATTCATCTTCGTTGCTCTCACTCGAAGATGCAGTTCTAGGGTGTTTGACCAAGAAAAGGGTCCTTAATTGAGAGTATATAGATCTTTTCTTTTTTTTTTTTTTTTGGTGGACAGAAAATACATATTTCGGATTTGTGAAATCTGATTTATTAAAATAATAATATTGATAATATTTTTGAATATTGTGGGAGGGAAAAAAATGTGGTCAATAAATGAATAGTGAAACTCAGATTTCAAAAATTCGACCTTGTTTTTCTTTAAAAAAAAATTAAAATTCTGAAGGATGGGAAAGTTTGAAATTTTATTTCGAAAACTTTGAAAATTTATTTATGGTGGCAGAAAAAATAAAAATAGGTTCAATGAACAGTAACGTTCGAAATTTGAAAATCCGAATGGGCTTTTTGTTAAAAAAAAAAAAGAAAATCCTTAAAGGCTGGAAATTTTGAAAATTTTCCAAAATTTAATAGGAATTCACATTGAATTGAATTGACGAATTTACTTTTAAAAAATTAAAAACGAAAAATATTGCATTAAATCTTTTATTACTGCGAATGAACTGTTGGTTTAATAGTAAAAATCATCATTTCTCTGAAGAGGAGGTCATGAGTTCAATCCCCCACTCCAACGAAAATGAGTGGTGGCTTTAAAATTGCCCATTTACATCTCTAGAGGGCTTCACACAAACCCCCGATTTCGCATCCGAGCCTGTCACCTAGGGTTTGCCTAGGGTGATTTATCTCTCATTGTGATTTACAGAATTGTACTATGTGCGTGTATTTACCCATTAATAGAAGATATTAGAATCCTGTTTCTGAGTATGGTTGAATGTAATATTATTAAAGTTAGAAGAGACACAGTAGAAAGCTTGCATAAGGTATCAAAGGCTTGTTTTCAACTAGATACTTCTCTGCAATAGCTTGTCTCGTTTTTTAATGAATATGAAAGTTTTGTCATCAAAAAAGAAAAAAGATTTATACGCCAATGGATCTATAAAAAAATGAAAAAAAAATCCTTAGTAATTATCAGGATTACTACTTTACAGCTCAAGTTTTATATAATTAAAACAACAACAATCAAATCAAACCAAGTACAATTGACTATACGAAAAGATCGTGTTACATTTAAGCTTCAATTTAGCAAGATACAGATACTTAAAAATGATTTTTCCAACTTAAAAGATAGTATCTTAATTAAGTGTACTAAAAATAAAAAAAAAATAATATGGAAGATTATTTTCCTTAGAAGTTGAGATGTAATAGAGATATTCTTGCTTTTCCTTATTGTGTTTTCTCCTTTTTAGTAAGCTAAAACACTTAGAAATGTTTCTCTCAAGTTGAAAAATAATAATTCTCCCTATTTTAAAATGATTATTCGAATTTGAAATTTTATTTTTACTGCAATTTGTTCTGGAATTGAAGATCTAAATTGGAATCATTACGTTCGGAGTAATATTTCCCTTAAAAGTTCAGAAACTATAGGTTCTTCCTTTGGTCTCATTGTGTTTTTCAATTTTTTTTATTTTTTTTTTTTTGTAAAATGTAAATATATTGATGATTGAAACTTTAGGTTCATATTTACAACCAAAAGACCACCTTTAACCTTCAAACTAACTATTACATGCCCTCACTGTACATCTACTATTAGAACAGTTGTTCCAAAAATTTTTTAGGCTGATCTGATTTCTTCTTCCCTAGACATACCTCTGCTCGCCAGTGCATTTCCTGTTTAATCAACTTGAAAATCACTTCAACTGGCCTTCTTTTATCAGCAAAAGTTCTGCCATTTCTTTCTTCCCGGATGTGGTAAATCAAAGCAGCAAAAGCAGCCCAACAGATTCAACTTCACCTTTGAGTTCCTGCTTACATCAAGGATCTGGTTCCTCCAATTAGACTGTAAATTCGACAGACCATGTAATCCCAACTAGAGAACAAAAACAGACTCTGAGCATATAAACATTCAAAAAATAGGTGGCCTGAGGACTCATTCCCTTGTTTCATTGTGTTTTCCAATTTTTTATTTTATTTTATTTTACGCATATGGAGAAAGCTTAGTTACACGTGACCCTTAGGCTACGTTATTTTATTCGGAAACGGAATAAGGGAAATAGAATTTCATTTATTCTGAAAAAACAACCATCCATTAAAGGAATCATTATATTTGACATTTGTTAAATATCTATTGGAATAGTTATTACTTGTCCATTTCTACATTTCTTTTCTACATAGGAGCTTTTTGTGGTGATCCAGGGTCTTTAACACCAGCTTTAGAAGTTGGTTTGAGCAATTGGATCTCGATCTCCATTATTCTTCCTTCTAGCTCTACCATTTTTCCAGCCAAGGCAGTCAAATATCCTGGCTGCTTCCCTTTTAGTATTCTCTCCCACTTTTCAGCTTCATAGTGAAAATCCGAACATGGTTGTAATACCAAATTGACGCAGCACTAGCGTGGGTGTAACTTTGACACAGATTGTAGGTAAGAACCACAAATGGCAGCAGGAAAATCTAAAGAAAATCTGAGAAAGATAGCTGATAGCAGTAATTTAGCAGCAGAAAACTAAAAGATTACTAAACTAAGAATCTCTCTTGTCACCTTTGGCGTCACATCTTAGGATTTAAAAGTTGTATCACACAACAACACAAAGAAAGCCGAACCAGTCTATGTGTTTTCCGAAACTAGCTCTGCTTTGTGGATGACTCTTTGATTGTTTGTGATTTGCCCCGAGTTTCCAAAACCTGAACCAACCTATGTTCTTTCCTGAACTAGCTCCACTCGGTAGTTAAATCTCTGAACCTGTGTGATTTGTCTCGAGTTTACGGAACCTGAACCAGCCTATTTTCTTTCTGTAACTAGCACCGCCCGATTGCAATTTGTAATTAGTGAAACGTGTTCTTGAACTGTTTCTTGAGATATGGTCAAACATTTCCATGTTTATGATTATAATAAACGTATCCAGTGATTTACCATGGTTTTGAGTAAATCTCGGGTCAACTGAATATCTTGGTTACTTGATTCACTATTTGAAACTTGTTTTACATGCTTTCTTGTAGCTGCTTTACTTCATTGCCAACCGATCCTACTTTTTGTTTTAAGCAACAAATTTGTTAAAAGAACACTTTTCCCAAATTGAGGCATTCATGGGCTATTTGATATATAGCTCACGTGTTTTTTTTATAATCGTTATATAGGAATAGGAACCAGTGAGCAAGTGATGATTGTTTTGTGATTTTAGTTGGGCCTTGAACTGTAATGGTTTAGCTTAGTGTTTTAGTTTGATTTATTTCATGGTAAGATTGGTGCCCCTGCATATGCGAAGGAAGGTGATACGGTCCTCGTCGAGGGAGCAATCAGAATTTCCCTCGAAATCTCTGATCAAGGTACTAATCGTTTTCTTCTTTTTTTTCCTTTGTTGTTAGGTCATGTCGTCGAGCAATGCTGGGTCTCGATTGTTTGGTGACGAAGATCTTTTTGTCATTGCGAATTCAGATGAGGACATTACCGTTACTGCCGCCCCCCAGAAGAAGAAGAAGAAAAGGATCGTGAAGGTGGGTGACAGGGCAAAGTCCAAAAAGGCCAAGACGGATGCGCCCTCGAAGGAAACTGTCCAACCAAGCGTCGAGACGGTGCCCGTTGCCACTGAGTCCGTACAGAAAACTGTGCCGGAGACAGGGCCAAGCACAGTCCCTCCCGGGGTAAGGAAAGGAAAAAACCCTCTCGAGGGAGAGGCCATAGTCTTGCCCTCCCAACTGTTCGAGGGAGGCCCGACTATGGCAGTTCATACCTTCAGCAACCCTCCTTCAATCGAGTGTCCTGTTCTCGAGGAATTTGCTGCCCAACTGAATGAGACTGATAGCTTGCGGCTGGTAAGTAATTTTCTTCAAATTATATCGTACATGCGCCGCGGAAGTCCATGTGTCTCTAATATATTGTGTTGGCTCAGATGAGCGCAGCTTCGATGGCTTATTTAGTGCAGTTGAGGAAACTTCGAGAGGATCTGGCAGCAGCAAGGGCAAAAAGGGATGAGGCGTTGTTTGAGGTCTTTCGATAAGGGAATTGCACATGAAGTAAATGATATAATTCTTGGCCTTATTTATACAAAAAGAAAGCACTAGGTGAAAAGTCTGGTTCTGTAAAGGCTAATGATGAACACCTAGTGGTCCGTCATTAAGTAGTTCACTAACAAAACTATTTATGAACCCATAGAAGGTTTCAAAGGTGTTCAAACCATTGTAAGGTCCCAGCTAGGCCCTCCTTTTTCACATTGTCGACTCTCACGCATAAATTTTGTTGGCAATGTGAATAATTTTATTTTATTTTTTTTGAAAAGAATGTGAAATTTTTTATATGAGAAGATAAATTAAAACTTTTGAAATTTTTGAAAGATTAATTGAAGAAATCTTAACGTGAGATTATCAATCATTACTCCATCGGTGTTATCTCATTACTTGAAAAATTAATCCCTTACCTTTCATTTTTTTTATGTGATAAAAGCAGGAATCAGATCAAATAATCATTACCTCTATTTCCCTTACCATTAAAAGAGCGTGGCCTTAAGGCCTTTCCTATCCCCGGATATTGAGCCTTAAATTACTGCTGTAAATACCACTAACATATTTATGGAAAAAACTTTTGCTAAGTTAAATTTTAACTTGGGAAGCGGAAGCCTCATATACAAAACATTTTACAACAATAAAAATGAGTTCAATCACATAACAGTAAAAACTCTATAATTGTATTGAGCCCAGACAAAATTTATTAATTTTTAGAGATTATTATTTTATCGATAAATTAATAGCTATAATCTTATCAATTATTTAATATTTTATTAATTTAAATTTTTGTTTTCCCAATTCTATTGGTAAACAAATACTCAACCTCAACATTATTTCCCTATGTATTAATGATCCTATTATTTTTGTTTACTGGAGCGAAAATCAAACATAAAATTTTGTTAGATGTAAATTCCAACAAAAAATAAAGCTCACTAGTCTCTTACTTTCTTAAACCCTCTTAGGTTCTTTTCGGTATGTTATATCATTATTACTTTATGATTTTTTAGGGGACTTATATCTACATAGGAATTTTTAAAATTTTTATTATCATATTAATTTTTCAATTTTGTTTATTTGTTATACTGCCTGAGATGTGACCAAAGAAATTTATTATTTAATAGAGTTTATTAATTTATAAAATATTAGTTTTGCGGGTTTTTACTGTAAACAGAAAGTCTAAACAAGGAAGGTTAAATAGAAGATTAACACCATGCCATTTTCGAGCTTGTTGCTAAGATTATCTCTAACTATTCCATTATTATTTTTACTAAATTTGATGCAAAAATAGAATATTTCAAATATCTTTTACTACCAAAGTTCATTCCACTCCAACCTTCATGCACCAAATGGCCTAGATGCCAAATGTTTTAGTTTAAATTTTTTTTTATGGTTAATTAAAATCCAGTAATTTGGTGAAAATTTTGACTAATTTATTTTTTTAATCGCCATTTATTTGATTGTAGAAGTATCGAATTTTATTTCTAATTTTATTACGTGTTGAATTTAATAATGGCTAAAATAAATTTTTTAAAAATAAATAAATTTTAGATTCATAATATAGATCTTATTTTGAAAATCTCAACAAGGTATTAAATATGACATAACTTTCACAACATAATTTATTTTGTAAATTTAAGCATATTGCAACATGTATTTAAATCAAAAGGAAAAATATGGTGCACTTAAGCGCAATGCACAATTTATACCAAATATGATGTAATGCTATTTATTCACTGTTTTGGTGTTTCTCTTTGAGTGCAAATTTTTCACAAAATACCAAATTTAGTAGTTTGGTGTCTTGGTTGGAGCTGCTCTAAGACCACCAAGATTATGCCAGTTTCTTCAACTTCTTGCATCAATAAGATTCGCAGATGAGGTTGATTAGATGGCTTCCTCCTCCGCCGGAATGGATGAAGGTCACTTTGACGGCAGTTTTGACTGTGAAAATGCCATGAAAAGTGCTAGTGCTGCTAGAGATTACTACAGGAAATTGGCTAGGGGGACTTTACAATAAATATTGGATTTTGTACTATAATGGGAGCATAGTTGCGGGGCCTTTTTCAAGCATTGACTTTGGCATGGGAGTTGGATGGTCGAAAGGTGATTGCGGAAATCGATAGTTCGAGTGCTCTTGCCATGGTGCAAGGTGGAATATATGTTGTTGGTGTAAGTGCTGGTTTGGTTTACAAGATTCAGATATGTTGAAGCGAGATTGGGTGGAAGAATTAAAACATGTGTTTCGTGAATCTAATTTTGTAGTGGATTTTCTGGTTTCGCTTGCAGCACAAGGTCTAGGAGGAGTACAATAGATCGAAGCACTACCACCAAGAGTTAAACCCTAGTTAGAACATGATATAATTAGCATGACTTACCCTAGAGATGTATTAATTGGATCTTAGGAGTTCTGCCTCTCTTATTGTAATAAAAAAAAATTTAAGAAAAAGTAAGATGAGGAATTTTGAAATGGACTGTCTTTAGTTTCATTTTCCTCAAAAGTCTATGGACTTTGGAGTAATCCAAAAAACTGCCATTTTCTTCTTTTGTTTACCGGTATGCCCCACACCTCGTTATCTTTATATTGGAATGATGGCTAAATATAGAGGTAAGCCCATTTATTTCTCATGAGCTGTTAGTTTCGGCCCATACCATCAAATAGCCAATTCTAGCGATATTCCTTCCATACTTAGTTTAATACTAATAAACTAGATTACTAACAATATAAACTAAAAAAATCTCCATCAGTTGAGAATTCTTCCTCTCCTATTTCATAAAAGAGAGAGAAAAAAAAAAGTTACAGAAGAGTGAAGAGAGTGCATTAAAGACTTAAAACATAAACCCCCCATTATTATTACTATTATTAGTAAAAGAAGACTTCTTCATGAAGGAAGCTTCAGTATACACCTTGATGATGATTACAATCCTTCATTAAAACTTAGTAATACATCCGATAATAATTCTAGAACTAATTAACACAATAGTCCAAGCTAAAATAAAAAATTCTAAATAAGCACTAATTAAAAAAGGACAACGAACTTGCCCTAAATAAGCACTGATTTTTTGGATATGTGACATCCAAAAAATTGTCCTTCCATAAATTAATATCAAGAACTGGGTTGTTACTGGTGGCGTATATAAGTATCCTTGTTCTCATGTCTCCAATTCCTTTGACTCCCTAGAACGGTTCCGACCTTGAAGAGAAAGAACAACAATACTGATTCGAGTTCGAGGGCGCAGAAACGAATTGTCCGGAGTCAAGTAAAGACCTTAAAAATTGCATGCTTTGGTAGCTTGATTGGAGTTTTAGGGGAGAAAAGAATGTTACTCTTGATTATTGAACTCATTCAATTAATGTTGATATTCATTCAGGAGCTCACTAAAGAGAGTGTCAATGCATTGCTCAATGAGAACATACGCAAGTCCGCCAAGGGAAGTAATAACTTGAGAGGTATATATGTATTTGTCATTCATTTTATGATCCTTAGAAAAATGTCTTTCTTTGTCCAATAGACAGCTTAGTTGGTTTACCTTTTATATGAATTCTTCAATCTGTTGAGATTTTGATAGGAATAATGCGACCATATGGGTGAACTCGTTAAAAACCTAAAGAACTGTGTCACCTATTTTCAACAACTCGAATTTGTGCCTACTTATGGATTGAGAACTCAATGGAAAAAGTTGATGTGCTTAACGATGAAATGCGTAAAAGGGAAGAAATATACAAGGTAATAGAAATAGTTCTTGTCCCCATTTTTGTTTCTGTTTATGTTGTGCAAGCTACTCAACTAATGAAGATATTATTATTTCAGGAAATTATGGATTTTTTTTTTTTTTGGCTATAAAACCGGCCCTTTTCGCTCATGCTTCGCAGATTATGAATCATGGAGAAGCTGGGAATGAAGTCGATCAATGCTGTTATAAAGGGTCTTGACCATGTCAAAATCTCTCTGCAAATGCTTCCAGGAATCTTGGGGATGCGCAGCTTCTTAGGTGTGAGTTTGTTGTATGGACTCAAGTTTTATTTTAGATCGTCTTTTGAAGGTCTTATCGGTGGTTTTACTTGGGGCTGGTGTCCATTTTCAATATGTAGAATGTGTAGAAGAAAGGAAAATAAATCCGCTCAGATGTTTGATGAGTTTCGCTTTCATGGTATATACTACAAATTATATGAGTGCTGGACTGCTGGTCCAAAACACTGCCTTTTTGTGGTTGTCAAATTTGTTCATATCATACTCCAAAATCTTACCATTTTGCTGTCACGAGTGCATTTTCGTCTTTGGAAGATGACATTATTATCATCTTTTAACGTGTTAAGTGTACCTTATGTCCTTGCAAATCATTGAAACTCTTGGTTGTGCAGGTATGCTTGTGTGATTCAGAGTTTTTCAGGAGTAAATTATCGAAACTGCTAACTTTGTGCTTGGCAATAAAGGTGTTGAGTATACTGTTGACACACACAGTAAACTATACTGTAATTCAACGGATCACATTCTATTTATTTACACTCATGTGAGTGTTTTTGTGTTGATTATTATTAATAATGCTTAAGAAGTTAGGTTTGAATTCCACCTATAGCTAGCTATACTGTGATATAGAAAATCTGTATGAGGGGAGGTGGCTTGTTTATAATTGCTAAACATTGGGTGTTTGTCTATGTTTTTTCCCGTCTAAATACAGTCCTAGTTTCTACTAGAAAAGTTTATTCAAACCAAAACATACGTGCCAATCAGCGAGTTTCAGAGATTGGTGGAGTAATTGCTTGCCTTATTTTTGTTTTGTGGTGAATACAGTGAAAGGATTTTCTGCGCAACTCAGCAATGTAATTACGGAAACACTACAGATCTTGATCCTCTCAATACATGTTGTGGATCACCATCAAGGTAGAGAGTAATCGTGTAGAAGAAAATTCTTATAATAGTCAAATGTCAGATGTCTAAATTACTGTAAAATGATGATACCTATAAAGAAAAAGTTTTAAGGAAAATGGATAAGAATGATTATATTCATCAATTAATATTATTTTTCATTTAAAATTTGTGTAATTAAAGATAGGGAGATAATTTAAACAAAGGGGTTGCCGTAGAGTGGTAAGTACTCCTCCACCCTTAATCATAGGTCAAGAGTTCGAACAACGCCATAGGTATGAAGCAACTTTAAATCCTATGGCCAACCTACCTAACGAGGTGTCTACCATGAGCGAGGGGGATTAGTCACTGTTAAAAAAAAGATTTTGAGATAATTTAGATGATTGGCTTATAAGTTTTGCTTGTAATTATTTTCCTATATGTATCTCTGTTCATCCTTAAAGTATAAACTTCGGACAAAGTTTAAGATAAGATTATTTAATATGGAACTAAATCCTCACCTGGTCTGCTTTGCAACAAATGCCACGATGCTTTCATTTAGTAGTTCTGTTACAGTTTCGCTCTACACTCTTCTCTACATTTTGTTACACATTCCTTCGAGGATTTATACCTCAACAGGAGAAATCCAAGTGACGAGAAAGGGGAAAAACAAATCAGAGGATTAATTCCGTTTTCAATTTATGGGAATTTATAGAGACAGGTTATAATATGATGATAACTAAAGATTGTAGAAATCGGTTTTACAACACATAGGACTGAACTTTTGACGCCTTTTTAAAGCACGAAACGAAGAGCCATTCCCTTCGACTTGAGCTTCATTGTGAAATCTACATCGAACGGAACCATTCCTATTTTATGGAAAAAAAAAAAGAGAGCAAAAGAAAGAATAAAGGGGAATTGTTAGATGTGCTAGCTATGGTTGTAACAAGCAGGGAAGAGAGGAAGTGCTTAAGATTTTAAGCACAGATGTGGCACTGAGATCACTAACTTCATTTGCAGCTAAAAACTTCTCTTTACACCTCCACAAACCAACTTTGGCGGACAGAATACAACTATCAAACATTAAAGCCAGAGCAACCTCAATTTCCTTGCTCCAAATTATACACAAGTCCGATATCTGCAGTGGCTCTAAATTTTCAATGTGCACTCGCTATAAAAGGGAATGCACTAATAACGGAAAACAAGTTCATAAAAGACCAGTTCATATAAATGTAAGAAATGATCCAGCAATGACAGAATACCATACCATAAAGCAATCATTTCTGTCATGCCTCCCTCCTAACGGGTACCTATTGTCATTTCCATACAAACAAAACTTTGATTCAGAAAAAGAGAACAACTGTCGCTGCACAGTCTCACCCCCATATTGGATGATAAGTGTTCAAATTTGAAATGTAATCAGAAATATCACACTCAAATTGCCAAGTCAATACATAGAAAACCATAATGCATACATGAGCAAATTGAGTTGACATCCATCATGGCATCTTCCTCACTTTTAAGAAACTTCAAACCACACAAAAACCTTTCCTGCATCATGTGCCAAAACAAGTTCCCTACAGTTTCACTCAATACCATCCGAGGAGATGAATCCACTTTCACATCGAATAGGGGACTAGGAGTTCACAAAGACTACAACAAGGATATGTGTTAAAGCTGAAGTTGAAATCCAGAACATGCTAACTTTTGAATAATCTGCATGAAAAAACATTTTTTGCCTCTCTCAGTCTAGTCAATAACTAAGACGATTCTTTTGGCAACAATAGAAGATCAGCTTTTATTCATTCTTGTCCAACCCAAATATCTCCCACAAGAATTCAACATCATGGAGAACAAAAGTATATTGCGGCAGAACCTTTCATTGACAAGGAAGTAAAGAAATGCTTGCTAAAACTTTAGGCAACAAGAAGAAGCTACAACAAATATAAAAGACGGGCAGTAAAGAGTTCAGTTTCATTGATAACGGCAGCAATTTTCAAGCTAAAACTAACAAAGCTAATACTTGAAAATAAACAAAATGTTCATCATATACGACACTGAATCCGGCATCCGCTTAAACACGTGAAACACAGTGCGAGACAATTAACACCATT